AGCATCATAATTAAGTCTATAGGTAGATGTAGATAAAGTTTATACTTGGGTCTGTTGGTAGAATCATTCAGTCTGTATGTAGAAACAGGTCAAATTTACACTTGATTCCGTAGGTAGACATATATCGGGTTTATACTTGAAAGGTGTCCGATTTATATTTGAAAATGGAAATAGATATGGTCGATTTATTATTGACCGTATACATTCCACTTCACAAGAATTCCATCAGAAGTTTGCCCATTTCTGTGGATAATTATATTTATGTAAAAAAAATGTATTCGCCGTGATCTATATTCCACCGACTGGACATTTAAATTTAGGGCTTTCTACTGTTACGTTAAAAAAATTAGTTGGTTGTTTGCGCAATGATAAGAGAACATCAGTTAGTTGATATTGTTAGTGGGTAGAAAAATATATTTTAATTAGTTGGTTTTGTCAGGAGGGACCACTTTCCTATTTGAGAATATTTTATGAAGTTTTCGTTTCGCATTGAATATGAAATAGTTACGGTATTGGAGAAGCTTGAAAGTATCATCACTATATTTCCCCCCTTCGTGCAAATATTGAGGGCTGCACATTATAAATGCTTTTAAGTATAATACGATGATTATTTTGGATTTTATTTTTTTGTTATGTTAGGAATAGAAATATATCAGAACTATTTTATTAGTTGATTTTTGGTGGACAATAAGTTTTAAACTGGTGTCAACGTGGTGTAGCATGATATCTACGAAAGTTAAAGTATTGATTTCTTCCATTTCCTACGTAAATTCTATTGTATGTTCGACTTTGATTAATTTATCTACAAGATCATGTAAGTCACTATCACAGGGATATATTAGTAAAGTCTAACGTCATTTTCTATCAAAAGTAGGCAAAGTTTTTACCGTCATATTTACTCTTAGTTTTTCAACAAGATTGGCCTTTGTTTCTTGCTTTATTATTCTTACAGTGTTTAAGCATTTTTGGCAGATCTCTTATCACAATGTTGGATATTTGAATATAGATAAATGCAGGAGCAAACGTTCATATACAAATGCATACAAACACACGCACACGGTCAAACACAAACGCACACAAACAGACACACATACACATATATATATAGCCTTCAATGTGAGTAAAACAGTGCTCAATGTTAAATATAAGTGCTATTTAATATATTCAAAATATATATAATACCCTAATTTGATTGCCCAACTCGGAGTTTCATGCTGGGTGCAATCCTCAGGTGTCAGTTTTCGGATGCAGCGTTTGTTTATTACTTCTGGTTATCGGAAGATATTTTATTTTCATGGCGGCTAATTATTGTTGTTAATTATTTAAATAAATTGTAGCTTAATTCTGAATTTGAATTTAGGCACATATTAACATTTAACATTGAAAATAAAATTGAAAATAAGAATTATAAATTTAAAATTATAAACTGACGCTGTTGTTATTAAAAAAAGATTGGAGATAAATGGGAGGTCACAATATTTTTATATTAATAAAATATGCATCTTTTATTAATAATATTAATAAAAAAAATTATTAACTAATTAATTTTATTAATATTATTATTTACTTTTATTAATATTATTAGCTTCATACAAAATATATACAACTCGATCTCCTATCGATTTTTCAATCAGCGTCCGTTTTTAAATTAAAATTCTTGTTTTCAATGTTAGGTATGCATTTTAAATATATATATATATATATATATATATATATATATATATAGATAGATAGATAGATAGATAGATAATATTAGTTATCAATATATATATATATATATATATATATATATATATATATATATATATATAAATTCCCAGGAATAGAATCCTGATTCCAATGTAATAAATTTTAAACATGGGATATTAGTGTTTGAGCCTTTTATATTATATACTCAATGTTATCTATGTATTTTTTTAATATATATATATATATGAAATTATATATATATATATATATATATATATATATATATATATATATATATATATATGAATTCCCAAGAGTATAGAATCTTGATTAGATTCCAATGTAATTAATTATAAACATGGAATATTAGTGTTTGTGCCTTTTATATTCTCTCTCTCTCTCTCTCTCTCTCTCTATATATATATATATATATATATATATATATATATATATATATATATATATATATATATATATAAAATTAAATTTAGATGACAATGTGGAATAAATGAAAAGTGATATGAATTAGTTTAAATGTGATTTTACCGAAGAATGCTGAGAATACTATAGACAGAATATGTGATTAACAAAATTTTTTTAAAAATAAGAACGTAAAGAACGGTTATATTTACATTCCGGAATAGTGGGCTGTCATTAATTGGTTTGTTTTTCTTTTATTTGCTGTGTGCCTTCCGGGTGTAAGCGGTCATGTCTCTTCACTTTCCTTATCTCTTGTAACTCTCTCAATGTTTTTTTTCCCCTATTTCTAATTCCCTTGGGTTATTTTCTGTTATCCCACCGTTCAAGCCTGCTTGGTATGTCATGCGTTGCCTTTCCTTGTCACTATATTCGACCTGTGAGTTTCAGATTCTCCTTTCTTGTTACGTGTCCCAGTAATTTCATCTGCCTCTTCCAGTTTAAGCTTCCTCCTTGTTTGCATTCTCTCCACAATCTCATCGTACATGATATCCTTGACATTCCCCTGTAGTACCATACTTACGTTGACTCGAGCCTCTCTTTCATCTTTGAGGAGAGCGTCTAACATTCGCTGTCGTCGGTACGAAAACGAGCTTTCGAAGAATTTAACACTCACCGGTTATATTAGAAGCAAAGGAGCCACATGGAAACATCCATTGTGTCGCATATAGTTGAATGGATTGCAGAGTACTAAGTGCGAATATAATGTATCAAAGGGTTGCTTATTCATGTGGAGGTTAACATCCTGATGAGTCATGGTACATAAAATAAAACAGATTGAAATGCATTCGTCACATTCGTCGTAGAACGATTCTCCTAGACAGTTTTGACGCTGTAAGATTGAATCTTACAAGGGCTTACGATACTGTGGCCTTGTGTCAGAATATGACGGGCTTAATATATAGCTATTATTCAGAAAACGGCTTTCAGTCTTCTCTATTGATTGTATTCTTTACATGCGGTTAAATTATTCAGTTTTAACGCAGTGACAAGCTAATGGGTGAAACGAAAAGGTAGTTGGAAGGGGTAAAATCAAGACACGTTTGAATGGGTGGACGCATTGCTTCTATATAATGAATAAGCTCGTCGGAAATAGAACTGCCATAGGATTGTGCTAAGAGGGCTATTGAATGCGTCCGGGAATGTTTCGTTGAAGAGATATTAAAATTCTATCGGAACTCCATAGGCAGTTATTCCATTGGCGCTTAAGGAGATACCAGTTTGAATCATTGAAAGTAGCATTTTGTGTTATATGGGGACAAAAAAAATGAAAAAGGCAAAACAAACGATGTAAACAAACCCGCGTAGGGCATGGAAGGACTGGCCGAAATAAAAGAAAGGAAAAGGCGGGAAATTATGCATAAAGCTTTCAAAAAAAAAAAAAAAGGCGGGAAAAAGAAAATATTCTAAGGAAAGAAACAAAGGTATAAATAGATAAAGGAAAATAAAGGGATGCCGAGAAATAAATAATCAATGTGTTATACGTGAAGAAAGAAAGACTGAAAGAAAGAAAGTATGAGTGAATGAATGAAAGCTGAATAAAGGAAATCAATGAAGGTTTTGGTGAAGAAATATGCCGTAAATTTTGTAAAAAAAATGTATGAAATCTAATATACGAAAAAGAGTATGAATGAATGAATGAAAGAAAAATAATGAATAACTGTAACAGAAAAGACTATTAAATGAAGAAATGAATGACAGAAATGAAAGACGTTTTGGAAAGCAAATTAGAGTAAATGGCTAAAAGATTTAGAGAAATAAAAATGTAAAGGATTTAAAAAAAAAGGAAGAGATACAAAAACAATAGAAATTAAATAATGATGAAAATGCGATTGAAATGTGAGGAAATCGGGATGGAAAAAAATAAAGAAAGAAAGAGAACAGAACCGGAATAAAGAGAATGAAGTTAAGGATTATGGACGAAATAAGGAAAGAAAGAAAGGAAATAGAAAAGTGAATGAAGTTAAGAGAACGTAATGATTCCAAGCAAACGAACGTAAGAAAGAAAGACAGAAAGAAAATAGAAAAGTGAGAGGAAGTTTAGAGAACGTAATGATTCCAAGCAAACGAACGTAAGAAAGAAAGAAAGAAAGAAAGAAAGAAAGAAAGAAAATAGAAAAGTGAGAGGAAATTTAGAGAACGTAGTGATTCCAAACAAACGAATGTAATAAAGAAAGAAAGGAAGAAAGAAAGAAAGAAAGAAAGAAAGAAAGAAAGGAAGAAAGAAAGAAAGAAAGAAAGAAAGAAAGAAAGAAAAAGAAAGGAAGTTAAGAGAACGTAATTATTCCAAGCAAACGAATGTAAGAAAGAAAGGAAGAAAGAAAGAAAGAAAGAAAGAAAGAAAAAGAAAGGAAGTTAAGAGAACGTAATTATTCCAAGCAAACGAACGTAAGAAAGAAAGAAAGAAAGAAAGAAAGAAAGAAAGAAAGAAAGAAAGAAAAAGAAAGGAAGTTAAGAGAACGTAATTATTCCAAGCAAACGAATGTAAGAAAGAAAGGAAGAAAGAAAGAAAGAAAGAAAGAAAGAAAGAAAAAGAAAGGAAGTTAAGAGAACGTAATTATTCCAAGTAAACGAATGTAAGAAAGAAAGGAAGAAAGAAAGAAAGAAAGAAAGAAAGAAAAAGAAAGGAAGTTAAGAGAACGTAATGATTCCAAACAAACGAATGTAAGAAAGAAAGAAACAAAGAAAGAAAGAGAGGAAGAAAGAAAGAAAGAAAGAAAGAAAGAAAGAAAGTTAAGAGAACGTAATTATTCCAAGCAAACGAACGTAAGAAAGAAAGAAAGAAAGACATGAAAGGAAGTTAAGAGAATATAATGATTCTAAGCAAACGAACGTCAAAAGAAAGAAAGAAAGAAAGAAAGAAAGAAAGAAAGAAAGAAAGAAAGAAAGAAAGAAAGAAAGGAATAAAGAAAGGAAGAACTAAAGAAAGAAAGAAAATAGAAAAGTGAAAGGAAGTAAAGAGAACGTAATAATTTCCAAGTAAACCATCGTAAGAAAGTAGGAAAGAAAGAACGAACGAAAGAAAAAAATATTATTGAATGAAACAAATGGGATAGATCGGAGGAATAAAATATGAACGTGCAAAAACTAGAAATGCTGAAAGATAATGAAGAGAAGAATTTGAATGCATGAAGAAAAGAAAATAAAAAATTAGGTGGAAATTCTATTTAAGAAGCGAGATGATATTTTAATGTAATTTATAGGTAATGAATATGTATATAGAAAGAAAAACAACCACAGCAAAGAAAAAAAGAACCGCAGCTAATAAATAATTAAAGAAGGAAAAGGAAACGAAGTGACAATAAAGAACATTATTATTACGCTTGTTTTTTTTTAAGCGTGGCTTGGATGTGGTATAAGGCTGGAATTTGGTGCACCCAGTAAGGAACGAACTTACTACTTAGTCGTTGTTTAATGGGTAGCAATCTTGCATTGCCAACCATGACACCACGTTGAAGCGGTCAAGAACGTAATAATTATGAACGAACGAACTTAAGGCAGACAAAGAGAAAGAAAAAAACGAAAAAAGAAAAGGATTACAACGTGGTAAACATTAAAAAAATATATATATATATATTGAGAATGTGGAATAATTTAACTGAAAACCTACTGGAAAAGAGAGAAGCTAAAAGAGAAAAGGAGAGAAAGAGAGAGTGACATAATTTTACTGAATTCACCTGGAAAAGAGAGTAACTAAAAGCGAGAGAAAGAGAAAGAGACATAATTTAACTGAAACAAACTGGAAAAGAGAGTAACAAAGAGAGAGAAAGAGAGAGAGAGAAAGAGAGAGAGAGAAAGAGAGAGAGAGAAAAAGAGAGAGACATAATTTAACGGAAACCAACTGGAAAAGAGAGTAACTAGGAGAAAGAGAGAAAAAGACAAAAAGAAAGTTAGAGAAAAAGTAAGGCAAGAAGCAGACAAACGATTATTGAAGACAACGGGTAGGCGAACGATGTCAAAATTTCCGTTAAATCATTTCAAGCGGTCGATAAGGGAAGATAACACGAATCATTCCTCTATCTACCGATTTTTTTTTCATACACTAAGTCTTTTGTTATTCTTTCTCACGAATCTCACAATTCTTAAACATACTCAAGCCTAAAGACACACCCACACGCACACGCAGGAACACGCACACACACGCAAGAACACACGCACGCAACCACAATTGCAGACGCCTCGATATGTAAGCATCTAGTCACGCAATCATACAGGCATCTTGAAAGAGAGACAAACTCGTCATACTAATAGTCGAATGCGAAGTGCAAGTTCTCGAATTTTTGTCTACGTTCACTGTACCTTCAGGACGTTCGTAATCATAGCTTTCCACGCCATCTTATCCTCTGTAGTTCTTAAAAGAATTTTAGTCTTTTTTCTAACCCTTCCACTTCCAGTTTTCGAAAGGTATGTTATTTTCAAATTTTCTCGTTATATGTCCGAGATAGTCAAAACTTCCTTTTGATTCTTTATCAATATAAGAGTCATTTTGGTTTCCATTTTTCTTTAAATTCCCACATTACTCACATGCCTCCTACATGAAATTCTCAGCATCCTTCTGCAGAGTCAGGTCTCCTGTTTCCCCATGTCCGTTTTACTTTAGATATGTCCAGTGAATATCAAATTTTCCCAGCCTCCTTTCCTCATTATATGTTCAAGAAATTTCAAAGATCTTATTTTAATTAGGAGTTACCTTTTCGTTTTCATTTTCCTTAAAACATCCTAGTTGCTTACGAACTCTGTCAATGGCATTCTCAGTATCCTTCTGTGGAACAAAGTTTCTGTTGCATCAAGTCTGAAAAATATAAGATACGCAGATAACACAATATTGATAGCAGATAAGAAAAGTAAACTTCAGGCACTCCGACAATAAGATTCGAAATAAACCACTCTAAAACTTTTTGGATTTCGATTGAAAGCATTGACGTCACCTACACTGAATCCATCTTAAAAAATCAGGATGTGGATATTGTAAATATTAAACAATTCAAATAGTTCAGTGTTTGGATCAGTTATAACAACTTTCGTATCTTAGATACGAAAACAGAACTGTGCCAGTGGTAGGATTTATCAACAACACGACTTGGTAAAGAACCAAAAGATTAACTTGAAAACTCGAGGAATTTTCCTAAATAGCCTAGTCAGATCGAGACATTCATATAGATGTCATGCATAGCACCCGTTCAGAAATATCGAAACTGTGTATGACTGCTCTCTGAAATCAATATTTAAAAGTGCCTTTGAGCTTGTGAAGCCCGTGGATCTTGGTGAAGACCATTATTCTTCGAACCTTAAGGAATGGTACTGCAGAATAACGACCACTGAGCTGTACTAGATAACAGAAACCACATCTCCTTAGGACTTTGATAAGCCGAAAGAGTTAATATGAATACCACATATTACTCAAAGAGAAAATAATATAATCAATAAATTCACATTCCACACTACTGCAAATAATTGTTTATGAAGAAATTGTAGAAAAATCACGTGCTCGAGATAAACACTCAGTTTTGGAGCAAGCTAAGTGAATAATAATTCAACCTTGAGAAAGATCTACTTATGGTGCCATGGAGCATCTCATTGTGCTAAAGTGGGATAGTCCATTGCTTGGGCTGTGATTGGCTGCTGGTACCTGAGTGGAGTTATTTCTATATAAATACCAGCTTGATTCATCAGTTAGTTTGCAGGGTTTGTATTAAGTTACAACCTGCTTTATTTTTGTCTGCCAGCTGGGCTCTAGCTGGGACTCTTACGCCGGTAAGTGTTGTTTATTGTATTGTTATTCTACATCTCCTTTCCCCCCATCGCGTGTGGGTAGTGGCCTTTGAGGAGGGATGAGTTAGTTTAAACCTGGCTGGTTGTGTGGAAGTAGTCTGGACAATGCCCGAGGGGTTTTGTCCGTGTTATTGTAGACGGCTGAGCACTACACTGGTGTAGGGGTCTCGGGTAAGGCACTTGGTCTTGAAACTGGAATTGTTGGTGTATCCAGTTTCCTGAGGAATTGGCGATTTCGTAAGGTAATTCTACCTGATCCATCAATACTGGGAAGAGCTACTGAACTCGAAAATATTTCCTGAAAAAAAAATAAAGAGAAATATTTTACGAATTAAAAGTGATAACAGTATAAGTTGTATGCTCAATGTTTCCTCATCAGGAAGCGGCTAATATTATCATTATCTTTAAAGCAGGTAGTAAAGAAAAGCTAGATGAAATGACTAATTGTAAGAAGACTAGATCTATGTTTGTCAGCAAATGAAAGAACACAAGATTGGAAATACAAAATGGAGAGACCAACAACAAGTAAGCGCACGAAATCAAACGTCTGCAAAGATTGTAAACAGAGGATGGAAGACATGACACTGTGACACCATTTAGGGTTGCTAGAAGGTGAAAAGAAAAAGGAAAGAAACAAAAAAGAAAGGCGAGAGTTAATTTTAGATGATAAAAAAAAGCCATCACGAAAGGGACATTAAGCGGTGTTATTTTGACAAGGAAAAATGGTGAAAATTTTTATTGCCATTGTCGAGAATTCTAAATAGATAAAAATTAACTGTGTGATGGTGGTGAACTTATATTATCGGGAATAGATAACGCCAGGACGTGAAAGCGCCTAACGGGCCAACCGCTTGGTGACGGCGAAAAGCTAATTGACAAATTCCAGGATTGGCCAGCTAACCTCCGAGACAGAATTCTAAATAGATAAACATTTAACTGTGTCATGGGAATGCCATTTGGGGCTTTCACGGAATTCTAAAGAGATAAAAGTTTAATAGTTTGTCCGTTGACCACACACGAGTTGCAAAGACAAAAGACCAAACCATAGGTTAAGTCTTTGTCGACGGGAAGATGTCGTTGGACAAGGCATTTGGGTTGTGTTGGAGTTTGACAATGACAGCGAAACTATTTTATCAGAAATTGGCGAAAATTTCGTTAACGACTTCCATATGTATTTGGCTGTGAATTGGCGAAATTGTTTTATCGTATCAGTGGTTGGCGCCGGAGAGTGTGTATGTCTGGTTGACCACCCACTTGTTAATTGGCGAAAATCTCATTGATAGGTACCAGGTGATATTGAGGATAAGAGCTGCGATTAAGGGACCACACTACGAAAGAAAAGAAAAAGAAAGAAGGAAAAAGGAAAAGGAAAAGAAAAGATAATGTTTTTTTCTTCGAGCAAGATTTTTTTCTTGAAACCAAGGCTAGTCTAGTCACACCCACACTGCTGAGCGCCCATTGGCCGAATGTTAACGAGAGCCAGGCGGAGGTGATCATGTGATGCAGGGGGGAGGCCTGCAACCACCCATTGAGGGGATAGGTATGAGATGTCACTGCGAGAGAGAGGGAAAACCGTTGACGCACTCTGAGGGTATGGTGATATACCCATATGAGAACAGAAGAAGGTGGGAGTAGGAGAAGACTTCCAAAAATGGAAAGGAGTGGAAATTTCCTGACCGAAAACAAAGAAGTTGACTGTGGATTTAGAATTATCAAGGAACCTCAAACCCCGACGAGCCCACCCCGGTTTTGGATCGGCGTCCATATAAGCAAAGTGAGCATCGAGCGAAAATCAGTTCGAGTTCGAGTTTTTCCAGTTCCAGTGAGTTCGAGTTTCATTTGAAAGCTCTGACGACCGCCTCGCAGATAGCTGACTTGAAAGATTCACGCAATTCCGACTCATCTTCTAACCAAAAACAGTTTATTTTTGAAGAACGACTTAGACTCACACCACCAAAACAAGTTTTACGAATATCGCCTGAAGACACACCAAGAACCAGTTTCTTAAAGAACAGACAACTTAAAATGTTAAGAATCGCCTAACAAAAACAACGTTTTCACGTATCCATATAGCGGGTTGGGAAATAGACGCAGTCCTGTATCCAGAAACCAGATATAAAATATTGTTATCCTTTTTAACACATTTGAACTTTTCGAGTTGTTATTTTATTTTCTGTTACATCTATTTGTGCGATATCGCCCTTATTCGAACTCGGCTTGCATTACGGCCCCGACGACTGATTGATTTCGTCTGCCTAAGATCAATTCACAACGTGGATAGATAGACTGGAAATCAAAGTAGTTACTTCGGTAACCAGACGTTGGAGGCGAGTTGGGAACGATGAGGCTGATATCGAATCTAACCAGATTCCCATCCGAATCAGCAAAAGGTTAGAACGTCACATTTGGTTGCCGCGACCAATACCAAGCCAGTTGGTTGTTACAAGACGTTATAGCACGACTGACGCAGACAGGCGGACGTCACGCTTGGAGCGGCGATACACCCGGGGGGGGGGGCGTCACAACACCGAAATCCGAAGGCACATTAGAATAGAGAAAGATGCCTTCCAAAAGTTAAGCACTGTGTTAACGACGAGATTTTAGAGAAAATATAAATAAAAAGAACGATTATATTCCGAATCAAAACAAGACACATAAAATTACGAAGGTACATAATGAGGAAGAATGGAGTTGAAAATTTAACACTCACAAAACATTTCGAAGCCTAAAGAATAACGGCAAATAAACTACTTAACGAGTTTGTGTAAACAGTTGGTAGAACAGGAACTACAAGATACAACAAAACAACACTCACTGTTAAACGCTACAACGGAGAGAAAGCTGTGGAGAGCCATAATGTGACACGTCTTAAAATATCAAGGCACATAGAAAAGATGAACATTTTCTAACTCGTTCAAGACATTATACCAATAAATATATATATATATATATATATTTTTGGTAAAATCTAAATATATGTCAAGTTTTACAGAATGTGTATACTGGCTCAAAATAACAGGCCCATATGTATTGATTTAGAAATTTGTCGATCTGAACATAGTAGAAGTGTTGTGAGCCCAGAAGCTATAGATTTCCGATTGTGATCTATAGTATTTGGTTATGATGTAATATAATACCGAGATAAACACAAGGATAGCAATGGTTTCATGAGCAGAAGCGGGAAGACGCAAAAGCTCCTAGTGAGAACATACCACGTAGTGATGAGTCATTGAACAACCAGTTCACACCAATCCTCTTCATCTCTTTTGATTCTGCAAAGAAACGATGGTATAACTACTACTCCACATGAAATAAAGCTAGCAAAATGAAACCTAAAGGAAGTCGTCTGTTGTTCATTCAATCTGTGATACAGCGTTGGGGCCTGAAGAATTGCCGATAGACTACAAGCGGCAACTCAAATCTTCAGCACTCTCTTGTAAATTTAAGCGAGCATATGTACAGTTTCTCTCTGACTATGATACACACAGCTAAATACAAACGCAATGAAATCTCTCTATAATTAAATCATGTGTTTCTTAAGTTATTTCTTTCTTTTCGTGTGATACCATATAAAGGATTAAGATTCACGTGATTCCACCAACATATTCACGAGCGAGCGTGTCAGTTCAATTCTTTTAAAATATCTTGTCAAAGAAAAAAAAACGAAAGGGATCGAGAAAAGAGAAAAATGTTCGCATATATTGAATGATTCCAAACAAGAACAGCAGAGGTTACCATGTAGGCTGACACGGTTATCCATTGACTTCATCCGACCTTCTTCCAGTTTTGAAGCTTCTGAACTCGATTCTCTTGCGCACTCACTTGTACTTCCTTTAGCATTATCATCAATTTTCTTCTTCTTCTTCCCCATTACTTATTATTATTATTATTATTCGTAGTAGTAGGAGTATTTCTTTTTTGTTCATTGAGTGTTTCCATCAACAGTAACTGGTGGATTACATTTAAAATTATGTGACCTCAAGAGATGCCATTATTCTAGCTTTTCTTATTTTGTGTTTTGTTGCAACCGTTTGTTGCATTGTGTTTTGGCTGAGCCTAACTTTTGCTATGATTTTCATATCCTCCAAGCACTCTGATAACGACTGGTACGACTATCGACTTCCTGTTCCCTAACAAATAGGAGTGGAAAGGACGACTATCGTCCGATTCACACTCCTCCTCCTCTTTTGAACACGAGTAGAGGTTTATCTCATTTCCTGTTTAAAATTGTCCTATCTCTAAATCTAATTCAGTTGTCTTTTCCTAACACTTGTCTGTTCCTACTCTACAAAGTCATCCACTGAAAAGAGTTCACTCAATACAAGAGTGACTAAAAGTAAAAGGTTTCTTGATGGGATATGCTATATAAATGTAAGAAGTGATAATATAAGCTGTTCCAATAAATTGGACCGATTTTATATGTCAATTAAGTTTAAGCGTCTAATGATTTTTTTCTTTTTCTTTCAGTATTAACAATTTTAGTCTTTGGCATTTTCAACCATGGAAAGATTAACAATCAAAGAACGTGTTAAAGTTATCGAAGCGTTTTACAAAAATGGACGTTCAGATTTATAAATGATTCCGCTAGCAATGATTCCTCTAGCAAAAAGGTGCACACCAAAGTGTGATCTTTTGGGAATGCGGTGGCTTTTCATCATTCATCCATGGCTTTTTATTACCCCAAATGCGACAATTCTGCTTATTACCGAGTCCACGAATATGAAAATGGGCTTCATCACTAAAGAGGATTTTCTTTTGTTTGAAAAATCTTCATCAGCTTGTCTTTGCTCGTGCACCCAACTGACGAATGTATGGGGCTCCAAATGGTCAGCAGCTTTCAGTTCTCGTGTCAACTGAATTTTGTAAGCCCCTGTACAAATATGACAATAATAATCCATTTTGGCCTGATCTAGCTCTTGTAAAATAGAGGATAGTAGGAAGGGGCAGGTACTTATGGGAGAGGTACAGATAATAAAGATTTAGTCATAAAAGCATTAAAAATTAACCCATAGCTGGGGGAGAACAGGTAGATTGATAACTTTTGCAAAGGAATTTGCGCTTAAGTCAATATAACGAAATCATCTGGAATTAGAACTCAACTCTGCAATGAACTATTATCCTTTGCATAATCCGCACCTTCAACCCAGCAGCACTAGGTATTGTCAAGCGGTCACCCATCAAGTTACTGAGCACTCCCGACATTGCTTAACTTCTGTGATTGTACAAGAACCGTTTTTTCAACCTGATATGGGCGTATGCCTATGAGGACAAGAAAGATCGGTTTATAACTATAGTGTACATAGAAGGATCCACAAGTTCATCTGTTCAAGAAAGTAGCTGTTCTTGACCCCTTCATCGTTCAAATTATAAAAAAAAAAATTCAACTCTCGAACAGGATGGTAACCTAATGCTCCTGCTCATGATATCGTCCTTTCACTCTTTTTCTTTTCTTTTCTATTTTGTTTCTTTATTCCTTCCTTCCATTCTTTCTTTTTTTGTTGTTTTTTCCCATTGAAACGACGTGTCTTTTCCGGCGTCCATCAAGACCAAAACAGGATAGTTTATATTTATGAAGTTTTGACAGGACGTACCGTACATGTGAACTAAATAATGAACAAAAGAAAACAGCAAATTATTATTATTATTATTATTATTAATAATAATAATAATATTAATAATAATAAAGCATTCTCATCAGTCACTAAACGAGATTTAAACTAAGCCAAATATTAGGTTGAGTCATTAATAATTTCAAGTTGTGTTTATCTATAGCATTCTTAAAAACATAAAGGATTATTACTTTTTATTCAGTTATATATTCCTCTTTATTTGCAATGACTTGTTACCATTTAACCAGCAACTATTTGTTATTTTCTAATAAATTTCTTCATGTTTTCTTGTAAAAATATTTCCAATGAATTCATGATTGGTAAGGATATTAGAATCAAACAAGGAAATAATAAGTTGGTAGCGAGATCAGGTCAAATGTTTGAAACGTTGAAATTGATGGACATATAAATGTGTGTGTGGGTGTTCTAAGAAATATATTTTCCAATTGTCTTCTTTTTATCCTCCTATAAATCTGCATTTTTTTCATTATTTTAACAGCGCACACTGAGCTCAGATTTTGTTCTCAGTTCAGGAGATGTATCCTTTTGAAAGTTGTCGTATGTAAATCGCTTTTCACCTCTCCCTACAGGGTTTGGTTGATTTTCTTTAGCGGCATTATTAATATGTCGATGGGTTATTTAATGCCGAAATCTATTTTTTTAACACAATTTTATGACTTCAAATAAATTTGATACTCACAGAAACGTTTAAATGCAAGAGGGTCAGATGTGAACAAAGCTTCACCTATCTAGCGAGCTTCAGTAAATAGACAGAGGAACAATGTTTGGGAGAGATAACAAAAATACAAAATATAAATAGATTATGTTGGTAATTTTACTATAAATACCTATTGCTGCTAATATTTTTATATAAAAATAAATATTTTTACTTTCATAGTGTTTTAGGTATTTTTTGTTTGTTTGTTTGGAGTTCCCTATTTTCCGATAGAAGGAACCCTAACAATAGCTGGGATTCTAACACGTGCTATCGCACACGGTCAATGTGAAGCTACGACTGACAGGAATTAAGAGGTTCCTTAAAACCTTCAGTCCCCAGGACTTAACTAAACATAGTGCTGGATGTAGTTTTATGTAATGATCGGTTAGTTAGGATAATGCATCTGTTATTAAAATGACTTACCTAGAAGAGAAATTACTTTTGACTCAACCTAAGATGAAATATATCGACTCAGTTTGCATGGATTTTGATTTTAAGAAATATTCATTTATACATTTAAGTTTATATTTTCCTTACATCAATAATATCATCCTGATGATGGCGTACGGCCACATCACGTACGATCACTTCGTTAAGCAACGTCGAGCCTGATTAGTACCTAGATGGGTGACAGTTTGGAAATACCAGGTGCTTTAAGCTTCGATGTACTGAGGTTGTAATGCATAATTGCTTGGACTTGTTGATTGGAGAATCGAGATCCAGTTCCCGATGGGTTCGTCCCTCCCCTTACACGCAAATACCCTTGGGGAAGGTGCGAATTCATCACTTTTCGCTCAGATATGGATTCATTAGTAAGATTTGTAACACTAAATTATTAATATCTAAAAAAGTTTCCTTGAATTGGAAAATATGTTGTGGCTTATATATGCTAATAGTACAGAATGCAAAAGTTCAAGAGCAAAATGGTCAGCGATTGGAAAGTCATATCCAAATATCTACCCACCATTGTGCAAACAGACTAAAAAAGAAAGCAAAAAGAAATAAAAAGAAAAGAAAATGTAACAGCCACATGTGAGGATTTGAACAATTGCAATTTGTGCTCCATGTATTGTAAAGGAAGACACGCCTCTAGAATGTGGCCTGAAATGACCCAACTCGAGAAATCGAGTTTACACCCTCTGCATTTAGGCTTGTGTTTCTGGAAGGATAGTTATCATGTCTTATATTATGGTATATTTCTGTACAAGTTTATATGCTATTATGCCATGTGTAAATGTATGCTTTGATATGTTGTATTATATTTCTTTTGTCTCGCCTATATGGCGCTAGTTCTGGAGACATTACGAGAGATCGACGTATAAGCTACATGTCACACTCGGCAATTATTTAAAATAATGATTACTATGTATTTTGAAATAGAAAAAAAACAAGAAGTAATGTTACAAAAATTTGAAGGACAGGGCCTAAATACTCAAAGATTTGCTAGAGTGACTCGTGGGTGGGGCATTCTGACAGTGAAGCCTTCGTTTGGATTTTGAATATAAGTTCAAAACGGTTCCTATTCATCACAGGGTCACAAGAATTCTGAAGCGTCGATATATCTCCCACATCTAGGATTACGACCGGCTGATACTGAGCCAACGTGTGACATGCGTTGCTGTCAGGTTAGTCCTCTTACGGACTCTTAGAATCCAAGCTGCTACTCTTAGTAAAACGAATACCAAAACTAAATGTCCCTTTTCGTTGATACCGTTTTTATTAATAGCATGGAAATCATGTTTTTAGAGCGCAACACTAAAAAATGTTTTACAAGCCGTGGGGAACGAAATAATCAATGGTCAAAAATCAGTTAAACGTAATACACTTTGTTTTATTTAATATTCTCATTAATCTTTTGCTTATGAGAAGACACCGTGTTTAGGAATACATCTTTATTTCTAAAACATGCAAATTTACGTCTACTGGTCTGTGAATTGAATTGTCTTAAAAATGTGTCTTCTGGCAGAATTACAACATGCACCACCCTTTAAACACAGTGATGTCTACTCAAACGCAATTATATGCTAAATATAACGTTTAAAGCAATAAGAAAATACATCATATAAACATTATCTATTATAAATAAAACCATAACTTTCTTATGAATTAATGTTCTTGTCAGTAAGATAATAAACTCTTACATCAGGTCTGAGTGACACGATACATCCTGTTACCATGACTGAAGAATTAGGCATCATACCACAAAACCTTAACCTCAACTCGTGAACAGTATGAGATAGAGATGTCAAGCAGTGATCGATGCTGAAAACGCCCATTTCTTAGATGAGTATGTTTGAAAATATTCATTTATGCCTTGAAATTGTTGGCAGAAAAGCCAATTAATCTTGTAATCCAATACATGAGCCTTTTCTGTAAAAGAAGATTCCCTCATTAATCAGCAATAATATACTCATAATAATTATTATTTCTCCATATGTCGTG